TATCGTGCATCCACAGGTGCATCTCAAGTAGGGCCAAGGAGGTGATCCTCCCCCTCTACGCGACACTGGTCAGGCCACAGCTGGAGTACTGTGTCCAGTTCTGGGCACCCCACTTCAAGAGGGATGTGGACAACATTGAGATGGTCCAGAGGGCCACCCACATGATCCGGGGACAGCAGGGCAGACCCTACAATGAGAGGCTACAGGACCTGAACCTGTTCAGCCTTCACAAGAGAAGGCTGAGGGGGGACCTTGTGGCCATCTATAAACTCACTAGGGGGGACCAGAAGGGTTTGGGGGAGACCTTGTTTCCCCTAGCACCCCCCCGGAATAACAAGGAATAATGGCCACAAGTTGTTGGAGAGTAGGTTTAGATTAGACATCCATAAGAACTACTTCACAGTCAGGGCAGCTAGGATCTGGAACCAACTTCCAAGGGAAGTGGTGCTGGCTCCTACCCTGGGGCTCTTTAAGAAGCGGCTTGATGCCTACCTGGCTGGGGTCATTTGAGCCCAGTTTTCCTCCTGCCCAGGCAGGGGGGCGGACTTGAAGATCTACAAGGGCCCTTCCGACCCTACTTCTATGATTCTATGAAGCACCTGCTGGCTGCTTGGCCCCAGGTCTTAAAGTGGCAGGCACAAACAGTGCCCTGCCCCAGTAGAGTTACAGTCTTTCTGGGTTAGTGGGAGTAATAGTGTAATAGGAAGTGAAATACCAGATGGAAGTACAGTTAGCCAAGGTTGGGAATAAACAATTGAAGCATAGGAAGACAGTCATGGAAACAGAATTAGTAAATGAGGAAATAACTATGAATCATACATGAATAGTTGACTGAATCTAAAATTAAGGATGATACTTTGTATGATTATTGCCTTAGTAGTGGATAGAAGTTTTATGTAAATGTGTGTATACTTGTCTGTGTGCACACGTGTGTGGATGCATAAACATAGAATATATACCAATTTCAAAAGCTGTCCCCAAAATAACTCTTACCTCATTTCCTTTACTTTGTATGTTAATTTCATATTCAAGACAGCTGTTATGCTTGAAGGGCTCTTTCCATTGCACTATACAACGTGGTGGATCTTCAACACATTTTACAGTGATATTAAGTGGAGGGGGGAGAATTTCTGAAAGAAAGCATTGATATTACAGGTCCTAAAGAGTCAATAGCTTAAAGAATCATAAAGCTTCAGTATCAGGAGAAAAGTGTATGGTGTTGCTTTGCAAGGGTGCCTCAGAGAATACATCCTTGTATTCTGTGGTAAACTGGAACAAATTTCTGCAAAAGACTCCTGAGTTTCAGTGACAACCCAGTGCAGTAGAGGGGAATTTTTATAATGGTTTGAGTTTTAATTTTTCTAAAAAGGTCAGCTGAAGCAATATAACCTTTGTGGCATTTATTTTCCTAATAAATTCCATTTTTTCCCATGACCTAAATGGCTAGTATGTCTGGCTTTTATATTGACAATAAGCATCACAATTTTAAAGAGGAGAAGCTAGATAATTGTGGCTTTTTGCAGCTAGGGAGGCCAAGAAATACAAGATGATGGAAAAAGACCATTAGATAGTTATTTCTGTTAATGAAGTCTTTGATGAAACAGTGTAGAATATTTACATTATTGTGTCTAAGAGTTAATACTCCATTTCAAATAAATTGAGTTATTCCCACTAGTCACAGGTATTATTTTGGACTGTCTCAACACTTATGCAGACTCCTCATCACTGCATTAATTTATTCATGGTTTACATTGGGAATACCTTTCCAATTATAAAGGCTAGAAATGAGTTTCTAAGAAAACTGGGGGATGAGGTGGGAAAGTTTATATTCTGGAGCAAAATTCTGCAACAAAGCATGGTTCTTCCCTATTCTCTTTTGTTTAAAAGTGAAAAGAAACTTCTTTCTTACCAGTTTTATACGGCTCGACATACTCATCATAAAACTGAATCTCTGATTCTGTACTGGACCCATTCACCAGGAAATAAACCTCACTATGTTTGTCAACTTGTTGAAATATACATCCAGTATGTCTTCCATGAGCATCTTTTATGTAATGCTGACATTCTATCTCATCTTTTGACCTGCAAATACCAAAATAGTTCAATTAAACACCGAGAACATCCCCTCACAAATCAGAATGGAAATGTTCTTAAACCAGTGAATGCTATGTACTTTGAGAACTGCTGATAAAGAAAATATTGGGTATCTTTTGGAGCATTTCTCCCAGCATTCCAAGTGCAATTCATGAAGGAAAGGTTGTAAATCATGCAGGAGAAATTTTCCACAGATGTTCCATTCATGCCTGGAAAAAAACAGGAAAGTTGACATGTCAATGTATACATTACACTGGATTTGTGAGGAGCAAGAAAACTAATGGCCAAACCAGGTACATCTTTGCACAAATTTATAATAGCATCTGTGACTGCAGCTGAATAGTTCAGTTATCTAAGTGTGCAGATATTCATTTTTTGTCACCATATCTTTCATATTGGAATATGCCAATATAATTTTTTATATTGGAATATGCCACCATATCTTTTATATTGAAAATGCCATTTGAATTTACAGTTCCTCTGAGGCCTAGAAGTAAAAAAGGCCCCACATTGCAAAACAATGAAATATTGCTTTAGGATACAGAGCCAGATCAAGTCATTCTCATAGGCATCTTCACTTGGACACTGCAACACATAAAAATTAGGCACCTGGACATAAAGGCCATCCAAACTGACCACATAACCTCATAACCTGACAGCAGCATGCAATTTAGGGTGATACCAGATCACAAGCTCTTTCATTCTCAAACCAAGCAGGGAAGAGAAAGTGGTCATACTACCCACCATTTTCTCAATGGCCCTTAGGCCCTAGTCTGTAGAGTACTTGTTCAAGCAGTCAAAGAGGGAATTTTAGGACCGCATTTGTAGACTGATGCACCCATTGGCAGATCAAGGATTTTGTAAAGGCATGTGCAGATGGTGTGGTGCTTCATCACATAACACACATTTTTCACAAAACACATTTTTCTCCACTTAAAGAGAAACTAGAAGCTTTACTAATAAGTTCAGTGTGAATGTAATGTGTGTAACAGAAGGAGGAACCAGGGGGCAGTCTGAAGAGAGGTTAAACCCCCTCCCCTGCCCAGCTTTTTCCCTGGTCCCTGCTGAAGCAGAGGGGAGGGGTGTGTGACCAAACACAAGCCAGGCTGGCATGCTAAGGCAGAGAGGACGAAACCCCCACCTCAGTGTGCCAGCCTGGATTGCAACTGGCTTGAGCAGGAAGCAGAGGAAAAGCCAGGAAGGGACTGATTTACCCCTGCCAGGCAGACCCTGTCTGGGGTCCTGTGTGGATGCAGGGAGGAGAGTTGAAAGCCCCCTTACTCATTCTGGACGCCAGCTGTGGTTTGCTCCCTGATCGGAGGGGGAGGAAGCGGGCAGTCCTTGCCAGAATTTTTTCCCTCGCTTGAGCAGAGAACCTCTGTTAGCTTAGCTATGGCTTAGCTATGGCCTGGCCAAGGGCTGGCATGCTAAGGCAGGGAGCTTAAAGCCCCCTCCCTCCCCACCTGAGTGTGTGAGCCCCAGGCTGGGGTGTGGCAATGCTCCCTCCCTCCACTAGAGTGAGTAGTGAGGGGAGGGGCAAAAACCTGGCTGAGGCTGCCCCCCTGGGCAAACCCTGCGAGCCCCCAGCTTGGGTGTGCCCACACCCCTTGCTGTCCGTTTAAGCAGCATGTGGGGGCCTGGCAAGAGCTGACCCCTCCCATCAAGGGAGACCCAGGCTGTGGCTCCATGCAGCCAGAGAAGGCTTCCCAACCTCAGTTTGTGAGCCCCTGGCCAGGGCATGGCCACATCCCCTGTTCTCTGCTCAAGGGGAGGGCAAAACCCTGGCA